TGATGATCTTTGATGGCAATTCAGGCTGCAGTGCTTTAGGGCCGAAGAATGAGGATCGCAATTATACATGGTAGGAGACCTTTGATCAGACAAGGGTGTAGGGTTCATGGCTCTTCCAGGCGTTAAGGTATGTTAAGGTGTTTGTTGGCGTTCTCTTCAAAGGACAAGGGTTCAAGAATCAGGGACTGTGTAGCAGGAATAGCAGCGGCAAGTGGAGGCTCATAAATACTTAAAACCACACATAATTCAAATTACTAGTCAAACTATTCATCTTTTTATGGTTGCCATTATTTTTACTACTTACATTAAAGAACTGCCGCAAGCAAGGTTGCCACCTACAACCCTGAATGCTGAACACTGCCTGTATTAGAATTTGCATTGCGAAAGTCGCAGTAAGAATTCTGGACAAGACTTGCTGAGAAAGGGAAGATGATCCCCACATAATCATTATACAGTATAATCTCATACCCCCACTGAGAAACACTAAGTAGGAGGACTTCGTATCGACATAGTCTCATACTTGTTTGAATGCTCTCTGTAAGCTTCTAGCAGCAGCAGGCAGTGGTGTGGTACTAGGAGTGCAGGTGGATGTCTTAAGGTAGTTTTGTAGTTTGCTGTGGTGCTGGTGCTGATGGTTGTAGCGGTGGCAGCTGCCGGCAGCAGCAGGAGGAGTAGGAGTATGAGTACAAGTAGGAGTAGAACGGAAAGGATGAGTAGCACCGTTATTCTTACTCGTAGTAGCAGTAGTAGCAGCAGCAGTAGTGATAGTAGTAGTAGCAGCAGCTGCTACTGGTTTTCCAGAAAAAAAGTAAACGACTAGAAGCAGCGGTAGCGTGAGTGGTAGTAGCTGCTGCCGGAATTCCTGCTGGATTCGTAGCTGCAGCCTGTAGGACTAGCGGTAAGGCACTGCAAGCAACGCGGTGCAATCTTTGATCCATCAACTTGCGATCCATTCCAAAGGACAGGAACTTAATTTAAGTTACTCTATTGGGAAACCATATTAATCATTATCTATACCCATTATGGTAACTGAATTTAAGTCCTTTGACTAAAATAAAGTGTTTCAATCGCTTCAATGCTCGGTTGGCTGGCCGGGGGTCATAAGCATCCTTACCATGGCGGACACTTGCTGCTGTGCTTGCAAATTATACCCGCAGCTCCGGTCGAAACCGCCGGCCGTAAGAACTTGCTGGCCAGGAGCTCATCAAGCAGAAGATGAAAGAAGCCATGAGGCCAGCTTGAACGTTCTTGCTGCATGTCAACTCAGTATCATAGTATATTATAGTATATTGTAGTACGTTGTGGTATATTGTAGTATATTATAGTATATTATAGTATATTATAGTATAGGTGTATCCGAACATGCTGAGACCTGGACCCATCAGCCTGCAGGCAAAAAATGGCTGCGAAAGCAAAGCAGTCCAAAAAGGTCTGGACGGACTAAGCGTACGCCAGTTTGGTCTCCGTAATTACTCAACAGCTCCGTACTTGAGATAAGGATAGCTGCTTGAAGCCATTGCTAATCTCATAGCCACCACAGAGCCTGCATTTACTTTCCTCGTACGATGGGCTCGGTTGCAGAATTCAGTATCCTTCTTGTGAAGCCTTCACAGCAGGAGAGCAGCGAAAGCGAAGAAGGAAGCAGCTCCTGACGGCTTCAAAAAATCAGGTGGTAACGGAAGGGCCCAGCGGGAGGGAACCTTGAGCTAGAGCCTGCATGGAGCAACTTGAGCTTCATTTCGGCTAATATTTTTTGAATTCGTGTGGGTCAAAGATCATAAAGGGGAGATACTAGATGCGTGCATGGTGTTGTCAGCATAAGCCTCGTTCCTTTGAAGTTAGAGGGCCTGGGAGATGTGCCAACGTGAAGCTAAAATTGCTGTTTTCTGGCTCAAGAGAAAGGGCTGTACGTTTCTGAAGGGTACTGCCAACAGAAAAGGCTGGACTCTGCAACTTCCTTGGTGCCATTATACATATATACATATATATGTAGATACGCATACTCTTATGTATATCTAGCTTGTAGATACTATATATACAGATATATAGTATATGTATATATGTATACATATACATTGTCTGCAGCCAAGCGCTGTCAGGCCTCAATGGCGCGAGCTTCGCGACTCCTTTCGCTCCTGTTCCTGGCTGCCTTTGCAGCTCCGCAGCCTGCTTGAATTGCATTCAGACTCATTATTCTTAAGGTATTCTTATTGATACTGTTATCATTATTCTTAGTATCAGTATCCTTTATATTATCAGTATTATCATTTTTCTGATTGTCAGTATCATCATTATTTTTATTGTTTCGGACAGTTTTAGTATTACTTTCATCACCACATCCTGCAGTTTAGGCAGGGTGCAGCACCGCCCAGGCAGTTGCTGGACTTCGTCTGTGGGCGTGCTGTGGCAAGCCGCGAACCTGCCGTGTCACGGTCTGCGGAGGCGAGCGCATTGGACAGAAGTGCTTTAGGTTATAATCTAAACTCCTAGTATCCCCTTAATGACCTTTATAGTAGTTCCTTATATAATCCATTATACAACCCCCATTGAGGTGTTTAGATTCCGGCTCATTTGTCTGAAAAACCCGGTGTCCAGAGGCCGGCCCTCCGCCTCAGAAGCCGTTCTTCCCTCGCCGTCAGAGCCTCATGAGGTTCAGTTCGAGACCGCAGGGCTCGCAGCAGGGAGCCCTTTTCTTTTCTGCATTTAACTAAGGACCTCCGGGAACAAACCCGCCACCGCCGCCAAAGGCCGAGTTTGGAGTTTGGCTTTCAGTCAACCGTGTTGGCTTAAGCTGAAGAGTTTGAGGTCTGTATGTTGCTTAGAAATCACTGCGCTTAACCCAGCCATTATTCCGCGGCATATGCTAAGCCTGCTAAGCTCTAGCATTGCTTCTGCATGCTGCGCTGCTTTTAATCTTGGCCTTTCTGGAAGAAGTCAACGCAAGGTTTACCCAAACCTGCATGGAGGCCTCGCAGTTCAGCATGCTGGATGTCATCTACATCAGGAAGTACCTGGCTCAAAACCAGAAGGCAGTGCCAATGCGCTGGATTGGGGCAGACCACTCGCCTTCATCCTGTTTTCCGTCTTGAATGTTCTTTTGCATGTGTAGCACCAGCAACGTTGATAATTGCTCATGTGTGTGACTGATGCTTCAAGTGCTATGCTACTCCGCGAGGAGGACAACCAATTGAGATGACGGTGGTCGTTATGATTATCATGGTTCAAATACAGGTTGAAGTAGTGGTGGCAAAGGCAGTAGTCATCATAGCAGCAGCAGAGGTAGCAACAGTAGCAGCAGTTGCAGCGACAGGGACAGTAGGAGACAACGAAAAAGGAGCACAAGACGAGGAAGAAGAACAAATAAAGAGCAGCTGGTAATTATCGAATACCAGCTCCTCCCTAGCGCGTTTTGCGGAGGAACTGCAGAAGGCGCTGAACATGTTCTCTAACATGGACCCCTACATGAAAGGCCGGAGCCTAAAGTAGGGTTTGCTATTGTTCGTTCTGTCTTTGCTGCTTGGGTTGGATTCATCTTGCCAGGCCGCATTCCAGCCTTCATTGAGAAGACGTGATGTCCTTAGTTTTTCACTTCTTAAGGGGACGTGTGGCTTCTGCTTGAATGGAATCCGCCCAGGAGCCTCCTCAACCTGAAGATCCCGCTCTAAGATGCTCGTCTAGCATCGCGCGCGCGTAGTGAGCCACAGGATTAGATAGACTCTTCCGAGGACTTGCAGCATGAAGGTTTTTGTGAGCGTAGCTAGAGGAACATCAAGACCATATCTCATCCGCGGCGAAGAGCTGTCGCCATTGTCGACTTTATTCTGGTGCTTATTGGTACTCTTCTTCTTCCTGCTTTGATGGATCTTGTGGCCACAGAGTCTCCCCGTCGTCACATCCTAGACAAGTCGGGGCTTCATCGCATTTGAAGAGCGCAGCAAATTTTCAGAGGACGCGCGGGCTTGGGCTGCGGAGATGCAGCCGATGATTTACCAAAAGAGCATTACCAGCAGGAGTGGGAGCAGCAGTAGGAGTAGCAGGAGGAGCGGCCGGTAGAAGTAGGAGGAAGAGGAACAGCGGGAGAGGAGGTAAGAGCAAGAGTGAGAGTAAGATTACGAGTAAGACTAAGCATAAGAGCAGTAGGAGGAGCAGCAGCGGTAGTCGTCGTAGTAGCAGCTGCAGGAGAGTCGCCGTCACCATCATAGTAGTAGTAGTGGGAGGAGGAGTAGTAGTAGTGGTGGTAGTAGTAGTAGGAGGAGGAGGAGCAGGGCAGTAGTCGTAGAAGTAAAGTTTGCATCTTTGTTGTCATTGTAATGATCATTGTCGCACCATTGTTGTTTTGCAAAAACTCGTAGTGGTGTTGTAGATCTGAGAAATATTGCAGCAGAAACTGGATTAGTACCAACGATCAGTTGCACAACAATCCTCAGTTCATTTCATGGCTGTCCTAATGGATGCATTGTTGGACGGCCCTCTGCAGCTCTCGCTGAAAGCCTCCCCTGTGGAAGCTCGTGCATCACGGCCTATTGGCCCGGAAGTCAAAGGAGTCCCGAGGCACAAAGAGACGGTGAGACTGCTGTAGTCATTCCCATGCTAATCTTTGCGACGGCATGCGACTGTGAGGCTTCTGCGCCATGTATGAAGAGTCAAGTCTTGATACGCAATCATGACCGCAGCGTTTCACTCCAAATGCTTGAAGACCGCTAAACCAGCCAGACAAGCCGTAGCTGCCTCAAGCCAGCCCACCCTGAAGCACTCTCCATTGCTGCAACATGCCAAATGTACTATGCACGCAGACCATAAAACCACATGTCTTGTAAGTAAAGCCAACCCACAAAATGAGCGAGACTGCATAGCAAAATTCTTCTCTCTTTCTCAGAAGAGCAGCATACTCAGTGTAATCCAGGGAGAGTTTTGCTACCCTCCTCCTCCTCATGCATGCCAGTGTGTCGTGAGTGTCTGCCGCGCCTGCGAATGTCGTCAAAAAGGGCTGCGCAGACACCATGGCGGACTCCCTCGTTGTCGCGGACGCATCCCAGGCAGGGAGCCGTGCCAGAACCCGCTCTTGTAGGATTTACATGCAGGGCGCGTGTGCCCTCAGGCCCTTGTGCTTGCAGATGCTGCACGGGGTGCCACAGCTGTGGCCTTGGCTACTTACACCTTCATGCTGTCGCAACTAAGTTGTTCTTGTTTCACCTTGGTTGTCCCAAAGCCGTAGTCTGGCACACATCAGGAGACGTCTCTGGTGCTCTATGACGACAGTCCGCCACCGTGGGTTCCGTTTCTTTCCTATGGCATCTTGCAGCAGCCTGCGCCAGGCGATCATAAGCGAAAGGCGAAAAGTGCTGGCGGCGTCCCAAAGAAGGGCAAGAGGTCCTCCTGGATGTGAGCAGGGTTTTCATTTTGGCTTGCTCGCTCCTTGCAGTGCCACACTTTGGGAGGTTTGGCCTTCCTGAAGACAAGCCGTTGACAGCTCGGCAAAGGGTGAAACTCGGTGCCGTTTGGAGCGTGTGATTGTGTGAGGTTCCGGCCCCTACCCTATGTAGAGCTCCCCGTGGGGCTGTCAGAGGTGGAGGCCTTCCACAACCGGACATGTGTGCTGTTCACCGCTTTTGCATTCGACTTGGCAGGTCGATCAGTTCCTGCGGGAGCAGCGGCTGGAGGATCTGAATCGGAAGCTTCAGGCAGGGACAGGCTCCCCATGTTGCCGATGTCGACGACTTTCCTGCGCCCAGTTGCAGCAATTGGAGGATGTGCCGGCCTCAGAGCAGTCCTGTGCCTTACTCAAGGCATAAGTGTGTGTCTTCTGCCACTGGCTAAGCGCTCATCATTCAATTTAGACGGGGCCAGCCTCAGCCAACTTTCAGATTCATGCTTCATAAGAAATCACCAGGCGTCTTGAAAGTTCTCAGAGCTCCCCTAGTATTGAACCCCCCCCACAACCCGAAATATTCTCGCAATGAGCAGCACCCCGAGGAGTGTGAACCTAGCGCAAGGCTTTTTTGTCTGGGGGTCAAAACAACAAGGCTGGCCAGGTGCCTCTTGAATGGGGGTTTAGGCGTTTAGGGTCTGGGGTTTAGGGTTTTGGTCCCTATATTACCCCAGTTTCCATTTCATTCTCCATTTTCTTTTCCATTTGCTTCTCCACTATAGGGAAATACTTGATCTGAATTTGCAGCAAGTGGCAGCTTTGTTGGGAGGCTATAGGACCTCTGAAGCAGAAACCAAGAGAGCAAAGTCACTTACTTGCGCACCCCTTGCCCACCAACTTTTGAGAGCCTATGAGGTTGAGCCAGACATTCGGCCACCGTCGCCCCCTCCGATCTATGACCGTGGCCTGGCAAAACACTTGTGCTTCTTGTGTTCTGGCAAAAGATGCCGGTCCTGGAGCAAGGTCAGGCTAGGTGTTGGTAGGTGTTGGCTTGGTCAGGTCAGGGCAATCGCCTGAACACGCGTGACGTTCGCATCCGCAAGGCCAATGGCTCATGTCCTTCTTTCTAGAATCGTCTCGCAGCACATGTGGCACGTCTTAGAGGCTATGCTGGCAGAGTTCAACCGGCTCATTAGGCCATACTGACAGCCACGAGTATGCACAAGCGTTCGGACGGATGCGGGTCAGGTACATGTTGAAGAATCTTGAGAACTATGTGCCTCCGGACGGATGGAAGCCGCAACGCCTAGTCAAGAAGAGCCACGACTGCATTACATCCTGACCTAGAGATGTCCCCGCTCTCCCTCTCCCTCTCCCTCTCCCTCTCCCTCTCCCTCTCTCTCTCTCTCTCTCTCTCTCTCTACTTCAAGTTCCTGCGCTCGCTGTCTCTGTCTATCGTTTTCCTGGCTGTGGTTGTCTGTCATTTTCATGCTTTGACCTACGATGTACCAAGGATTATCATCCCGTACGAGTGCAAGCCTTATCGATGTGACATGTGGTTTCAGGAGGTGGGGATTGGAAGAACATGTGTTACCCAATGCCATTTCTGGTTTGGCTCAGGATCTAGGCTTTAACGCAATCTGAAGATGGGCACCTTCCGCTCCGCAGCCCGTTGGGGGACCGCTGCCGGGCTGTCCGCAGCCATGTCCAGAATTGACAGATCTTGGTTGGCCCAACCAACTCGTGAGGTCCGCTGCTCTCAGGGCCCAAGCTACTACGGCTCCTACAGCGGTGACCGCTTCGGTGGCGGAATCGGTCTCAGGGTAGGGATCGAAGAGCGGGAGGACAAGCACACGCGTCTCCCAGGCACAGGTGTTGTACGGGTGACAACCTTCACCGACACGCATGAGAGGCTGAAGGAGTGGGCATCACAGGAAAACTGGCAGCGAGCCACTGAAGTCCACAAGGCAGCGTACTTCACAAGAACAACTAATGAGATCCAAGAGCGAGTCTTGGAGCACGTTCGCCAACACTACTGCAACGCGTCTTTCGTTGCAGACAAGCCCGTCAGCATGGCCTTGTTTCGGTTAAAAGATTGCGAGGAATTCAAGAATCGTTGCAAGCAAAAACAGGTTCTGCAATTACCGCTGGTGGTACACGGCGTTTTTGATGAAGCCACAGAGCCATGTATTGTCGACTTTGCTAATAAGCGCCTGGGCGGAGGATGGTTGAGCTACGGGTGTGTTCAGGAAGAGATTCTTTTCATTGAGAGACCTGACTTTGGGGCCATGTGTGCACGGAGCTTGCTGGAGATGCCGGACCCTACAAAAGAGCCCATCGCCAGTCCTTTCTCCATGGAGCCTAACGAAGCCTGGGTTTTGCGCGGAGCTCCACGCTTTGCGAAAATTGGCTGGTATGGCAGGGCACCTAAAGATGCCTTGAACAAGGTGAAGCTCTTGGATCCGGAAGATGATCGCATGACATCTCCCACGGTCGTGGCCATAGATGCCATCAAGGCAAGCTTTGAAGTCTACACTCGAGAACATTTACAGCTCATGCTCCGGAAAGCTTACACAGGCTTTGTAGCCGTAAAGGAGGATGAGCTCTTTGGAGGAGAGTTCGAAGTCAGCACCGGCAGCTGGGGTTGCGGAGCCTTTTTCAACAGTGAGCCTGTGATGTTTGCAATTCAGGCCTTGGCGGCCAACGCGGCTGGATTACGCCTAATCTATCATTCGCTGGGTGACGGGCGGAGGCTTGCGCCCGCGTTTGCCTTGTTAGAAGATGCCATGGTTCGCAAGCTGACCATCGAGGAAGCTCTGGATGCCTTGGCTGAGCAATGTTCCAATGATCCCGCCTTCCGCACCAAATACAGACCAAAGTCGTCTCTCTAGTCGGGCACGGGCTGACCACCCCTGCAATCAATCTCGGTTGTTCGTAGTACAGACGTGGATTGCAAGTGCCGGCGCCTTCTTGAAAAGTCGGCTGTCATTAGGAAGGCAACATCACAGATAGTCACAGTCCATGCAACTCATGATTCTCAAGACTGTTGTTGCTGCTTGGCAGCAAGGAAGTACCCAAACGCTTCCTTCATGGGTAGCAGCCTCAGGGACAGTGTTGCAGTGCCCGCCCTCGCAGGATCAGGCCTTATGCGTCTGTTTCAGGTGTGATAATCGGTGCGCGCGGCGTGAATCACAAGCGCTTGCAGGCATGGCATGGCAGAAGCTCTAAGCCTTTACAAGCTGCAGAACAGCATGAAAGCTCCAACTCTCGGAGACCAGAATTCAAGACTTCAACAGGAAGCCAGCGGGTGCCGAATCTTCATTCGTGGGAAGGAGCTCTGTGAGCTTCAGAACTTGGGTCGCTTTAACCTGTAGCTTCTTCCTGTTGCTTTACAAAGCAGAGCATTGGAAGAGCCTGCAAGAAGTGTCCAGGACATTGGCGACAAGTGGCAGACTGATGAGGAGTTATACATGCCACAGCATGCTTCGCGCTCGGGCAACAGTGCAGCAGATGAGCCATGTGCAATGCAAAAGTACATCGACGTCCAAACCGAGTAAGGTTCCATTTTTCTTAGGATCCTACATGTTGCAGGTTCAAATGTCCTTGCTCGGATTTGTCAAACAAGAAGATCATTGCTTAAGTGTGCCTGTGACAGAGTCTGCGAGCGGCCAAAGCTTGTACCGTGACGCTACCAGGAGATTCCTATCCACTATGTTGACGGGACTCCTCAACCCCGAGGTCCACATTGAGGGTGACACGGAGGAGCAGATCGAGACAGCCACAAACCTGATCATGCCGCCGCAGTCTGAGGTTGTTGCAGCACTCAGTGCATTCAGTGTAGGTGCGGGAAGTTTTGTCTCATTTTTCTCCAAGACATGAGGAGTCCAATGCTGTGCGGGGGGTATATGAGCAGATCAATGCTTGCTTGTCACCACGAGTGCCACTTGAGTTTTGGTCCGAGGCTTCTCAACCCGGAGAGCCCGGAGTTTGAGTATGCCAGGACTGCTGCTGAAACTTCACAGCCTGTAGTCTTAACTCCATGAAGTATAATCTGGAAAAACGCACAGAACATTCTACATATCAGAATGGTTTTCTGAAAGAGGGCTTCTTGCAAACCCTCGTGCTTTCGGATCTTTGGCTTCCTGATCAAATGTTTCCAGGACGCATGGCATGCAGCAAGTGGCCTTGGTCAATGGCTTCACGCTGAAGAAGTGCGAGCCTCAGCTATATATGTCTATATATATATATACACACACAATCCGTATCTAAACTTACATAACCATACATGTGTATATATATATATGTATATATGTACATAGGTTTTATAGTCTGTATATAATCCCAACATCATCTCATATATCCTCATTGGATCCTCATAAAACCCTATAAAATCCCCATGCATGGTAGAAAGGGGGAACTCAATATTGAGCCCAATATATTAAAATCCTGATTATTGTGACCACAGAAGGGTACAACGATGGGCCGCGGGCCAAGTAGATCTCAGGGAGAAATAAGATACATGAAAATCGTCTATGGCTATATGGGCATGCTATGGGGAGATATGGCGATTACAAAGGGGTATATACCAATTATATAAGGTTTATGTAGGGATTGCGCAGGGTTCGGAGATATTGCCCCAATAATGGAGAATTGGATGGAATATCAAATGGAGAATGAAATGGCAGCTACAATGCATAGGGATATATATATATATATATTTATAGGGATATCACCCATAAGAATGGAACATCAAATGGACAAGGACATGGTCAATGAAATGGAAACTGAATTGTATAGATTTGTTATGTTATACAGCTGTCCTCTTGAATCCATGATGTTTGCAAATCAGGCAGCAAGCTTTGCACGTGTCTAGCTGCCAGCATGACGATTTCTGATGTTTAGAGTGAACTGTCATGCCAAATGGAGGAAGCCCGAGGCCCTAAGTCATTGTGCTTCTCAAGCCGCGGCGCTGGTAGGAAGAGCTGTAGACGGGCCTCCGTTTGCTTTCATGTCAGTCCTCAAGGCTAAGGAGGGCCTCAAGTTCTCACTCATGATACCTGCCTGCATGGCTGGGTATGTAAGTACGGCACCCTCCCTCCGTCAGCCTTCTCCTACCCTGCCCCTGCCGTAGCAGCAAGCAGGACGGAACAGCGCTGCGGGGTCTGTGGTGCTCTGGGGCACTTGGGCTCATGGCTCAGTAATGACTGAATCGCGGCCTGCGGGTCTGAGTGCTATTACTTTACACATTTCTCAGGTTTTGATTGCCCGGAGACGGAGGCCTTCAGCTACAAGCCGGGGACCCGGCTATCCTAACCACATTCACCCGACTTGGAGCTGATGATCGCGGGCAGGATGGCTGATGTGAAGTGCACTATTTGCGGTGATCGGGGGCACGTTGCTTCCGATTGCAAGCAAGCGGCCGAGCAGCACAAGAAGGACATCTCAGAAGAGACCCCACAATTAAGGAAGAGATAGCAGAACCGCCATATCAAGCATGAAAGTAGGTCTTGAGTGGTCGCACGCAGTTTGCATCATGACTTGCAGCTTTGCGGTTCAAGGGCCAAGGGGCAAGGCATTTCGTGCCTGGAGAGATGGGGCGGGAAGTCACCTATGTCATCCTCGTGCGGCACGGGGAGAGGTTGGATGAGGCAGACCGCGAGGCATGGAAAAGACTACGAACTCACGACACGCAGTACGATCCTCCTCTGACTTCCACAGGCAGGGGCGGCCAACAACTAGTGTTTCTTTGCCCTAAGGAGTGATAGGTTGTCATTCCAGGTTGGAAGCAGTCGAGCACTGCTGGAAAGCAGATTCTGCGAGATTTGCAGAGAGCCTCCGCTCCGGTTGCTTGCATCTACAGCAGCCCAACCATGCGAACCATGGCCACAGGAGCGGCCATCGCAAAGGAGCTCGCAGCAGCAGGTGTGACCCCGGCTTATGGCCTGAACTGCTGTGCAGCAGCGAAAATGGTGGGTGTTTCCTCGCGCTACTTCGCGCGCCCTGCTGACGAAGCTACCATGCAAGGCATTCAGGTCTCCTGCTGGCCACCGGTCGGCGATGCAGAAGAGGTTGGCAGGAGGAACCGCAGCCCTACTGGATTCGTTGAAACCGTTAAAGAGCTTGCCAGGGCCCATGCTCCCGGGGAGGCAGTCGTGATGATCTCCCACAGAGAGGGCATTTGGGAGGTATTGAAGCATCTTCACATGGCACCAACAGGCAAGTACTGCAGCACGCACTACTTGCAATATGAGCATGCCTCAAGGAAGCTCCAGCTCTGGAATGTTGAGGACAAGAAGGGTGGAAGAGGGTTCTAGTTGAGGCACCCATTACGTGAACAATGTGGCTGTCTCCCTGAGGATCACTTGGCAGCTACATTGCCGGCTCAACTGGAGACGGCTATGACAGAGCTCAGGACAGTTTGAGAAATAGGGCCAAGCAAGGTGAGCCCAGCTTTGTAGACCATGCCATCCCTGAGTTTATGGGAAGCTTTGAAGGATCGCCCCAGATGCTTCCCCAACTACTCCTGCAAAGGGACGTGGCCGCATTCTTCTGGAACTGCCAGGCAGTCCGAGCCTTGGGAGAGGCTGCAAAGCATCATGCAGCAAGGTTCACTGGTGCTCATCTGATAGTTTACCAAGATAAGGGGACCCAAATAAGGACCCGAATCTAAACCCAAAAGTGTAATCCTTATCATGGGGACCCCAATAATGGTACCCCTAATGATGACAAACCCCTATCTAGAGTATTGTATGCTCCCGTGAAGAGTCTTTCATGGGAGCGTCCAGCCCAGGCACCGAGCGCCTTTGGCAGACCCCGGGCGTGGAAGGCCTTTTGGTCGAGAAAGGCGACGTGGCCGCTGGGGAGGTCTGAACAATTGGGGAAAAATATTTTTCCCCAATTGTTTAGTACTTGTGAAAATGTTTGAAGAGAGGGGACCCTCATATAGACACCAAAATACTCTAGTCCTTCTTAGGGATACCTGAAAGAAAGTGTTTCAGGTGGTCGAGCTGTTGAGCAGCCCACAGGCCAGTGAAGGCCGGTTCGCATGCTGAAGTCCTGCAAAGCTGTATTTATGAGAGTATATCGGGTCATATGATGGTACCTAGAGGGTATTAACGGATGGATTTAAGGGTATTTTGAGGGATATAAGGGGTATGAGTTTGGTAAAACCCCAAAACCCTAAATAGTAGCTTCCATGTTCCTTTCCATTTTCCCTATTTACACCCTCTATACCCCCATAATCCCCCTATATACTGCCAGCGCACAAGGCTCAGGCGCCATGTTCCGTCTGCCTGTCAGGAGAAGCGGGCGACTTCGTTCTAGTTCGAAAAGACAATGGTGTCGAGGGATGGACCCCCGCAAAGCATCTGAAGCCCATGTTGGTCCTGGGTTAATGGGCACGTAGCCATGCCCTGCATGACGCCATTTTAGATGGCTCTCGCAGAGGCAGAATTCGCATGGCAGGGTGGACCCTGCTGAGATATTCTTCATGTTTGGCTGCTCTATCCTTGCGCTGCAGTGCAGCTGACGCGCATGAGGGCATCGCTGTACAGTCAGGTGTCGCAGCAAGGAAACAGGCGATCTCCGTTTGTTGCCCGGGTATCGAAGAGCTAGACAGAGAAGGTGACACACATCTGCAGGAGAATGTGGATTGGAAAGAGGAAGCTGAGAAGAAGAGGGAACTGGACGCGGAGTACGTGTGGTTCTCAGTCGCTCTTGTCAAGTTCCCAAGCTGCAAGTGCTCACGCGGAGGAGAGGATGATGAGCGAGCTGGGTGAGCTGGGTCTCTCAACCAGCACATCCAGCAAACCTCGAGGACCCCCAGGCCTGAAAAACAGCTTGGACTTTCGACATGCTTCTCTCGATCCAGAGTTCAGATAGGGGGAATTCGGAGCTCCCGTGTAAGCCTGCACAACCCGCATCAGATTCTGCGCAAACGCATGAATCCTAGATGATTTATGGAGCGGGCCGGTTCACTGCTGTGCCAAATATTTAATGCTGCCTTGTGAAAATGCCTCCTCACCTCCCTCGCGGCCCCAGTAGAACCACGACTTTCAAAGCAACCCACCTAATGTGTCAAGTTGGTGACTTGCAGGGCCGAAGGCGGCGGGGACCGTCAGGGCCTGTGCATCTGCCACTGGGATGTCTGGGCTGTCTTAAGAATCAGAGATAATGAGATTTCTTAAATGTCCGGTCCATCGAAGAGAAATGCCACGTATTGTAAGGTATTAAGCAAACCCCGAATTTGAGGCACAGCTGCTGCTCCCTGCCTGGTTTCCGAGCAGCAGAATAGCGCCCACGAAATCTTTACGTGCATCATATGTGAATCCGAAATCAAGCTGGCACGGCGCTAAGGCCCAAGTGCCTGGAGGTGGGTTGCCAAGAGTCAGGATTACAGCATTGCCTCGGGCCGTATACTTGTAATTCGAAGTTAGCGTCTGCACACTGTGCACCCTGGATGGGTCAACGACCGCAAGTCGCTTTCGCCGGTATGGCGTTCATACCTAATGCTAGAACGTGATATGTCTCTTGCTATCAGTTGCAGGGCTCAACCGACACGGAAGTTGAAGACGACGATGAGATAGCTTGAAATAATTCTGGGAAGTCTTCATCAAAGCTGTGCCGCCTTCAGGGACGCCTCCAGTATCCATGGCAGCATCCCCCGGGTGCACCTGACAAGTTTCTTCTGCACTCATTCAAAAACATCGCTCCATAATGGTATAAATACATGTAAATAAAGGGGAGCGGAGCAGGAGCACTCGCATGCACTCGCAAAGGACAACCGACGAGCAGTTGCAAGTAGTAGCTCAGCGAAGGTGTGCGGCAGCACTTGAAGATGCAACCAGAAGCGGCTACTCCAACGTGGCGCACGCTTCATCCTAATCTTCAGTCATGTTAACCTCCCTTGGGATGCTGCTCAGCCACCGACAAGAAAGCAAATGGCCAGGAATCTCCAGGGCGCTGAGGCTGCGGCAGCTCTTATGGCCAGCCGTGCTAAGGCCATGAGGGGTTGACTCTTGAGCTCAGAGTTGGGGAGGGGTGTGAGGAGCGTACGAATAGAGTTTAGGGTTTAGGGTTTTGTTTAGTGTTTAGTTTGCAGGGTTTGAGAGGCAAGGTCTGGGGTGCATGCTACCCGGTTTCGAAGAGGGGGCAAAGTATTTGCGCTATCGTGAGCGAAGCATCCTTTGAGGAGGGAACACAATGACCTAGGGTTACTCTCTGGATTATACGTGTTCCAGCTGCCGTGCTTACTAAGTCCCCAGCCCCCCACAAGTAGACTCTAAGTGACGCAGACATGGGGGGTTCCCAAAATTAGGGTCCCATCTTGGTACCCCCATATGTCAGGTGCTATAATAATACAATCCATTACCACAAAGAGCCCATAATTTTGAGAACAACTCAAATAGTGGCGTCCATTTGCTTTTCCATTTTCCCCATATTCTCCCTATATTATATAACCCACTCTAGTACTCCCTATATAACCCTTACAGTAGCTTCCATTTTCTTTTCTATGATCCCTACATAGCCCCTGTATATGTCAATTGCTGAGTCCTTGGAGGCCTCAGCGCCTGGCCCTGCAAGTCCAGCGCAGGCGGAACCTGTGGTTCAAAGCCCATATATGGGTGTTTCCCCAAATTGGGGGGTACCTTTAAAGGTGGATTAGGGTTATACATCTGCGTTCCAAAAGTTTTGAGCTGCCGGGCCT